AACATTTGTTATTTTGTCTTATTGAACTTTGCTATCAGTGCATGTGCAGAAGATATGAATAGACACTTCACCAAAGAGTATACTCAAGCAGCCAAGAAATACATGAAGAAATGTATTAGCCATTAGAGAGATGCAAATCAAAACAACAATGAGATACCATCTTGTCCCAGCACTGATAGCAAAGTTCAACAAGACAGAAGATAAATGCTGGTGAGGATGTGAAGAGATTGGGATTCTCATACATAGCTGATGGGACTGTAAAATAATACAACCACTGTGGAAAGCAGAATGGTGATTCCTTAAAAAGTTGGAAGTAGAAATATTATTTGATTCAGCAATTCCATTACTAGGTATATATCCTAAAGAAGTGAGAGCCAGGGCAAGAAAAGATTGAACACCTATGTTCATCACAGCACTATTTACAATAGCCAAAAGATGGAAACAACCTAGGTGCCCATCAACAGAAAAAGGGATAATGAAACTATGGTACATACACACAATGGAATACTATGCAACCCTAAAGAATCTACAAAAACACCTCATGACATGGAAGAACTTGGAGGACATTATGCTGAGTGAAATAAGTCAATCACAGAAGGAAATATTGTATTAGTCCGCTATTGTGAAAAGTCAAGGAAAGATTTATATATGGACGGAAACTTTCTTTGTTGGTTATCATGGGTGGGAGGGGAGGGGAGGAAAAATTGCTAGATAGATATAGACAAATATTGATTTGGGTGAAGGGAAGGGCAATGCATAAAATGTGAGTGATCATCACCATGGCATTGAGGAAAAGGAAGACATAGAGAGGTACATGGGAGATACGGACAACAAAGATGAACCCTTTTGCACATACAGTACTGCATTGTCAGTGATGGCAAATATTGATCTACAGGTGGGTAGATGGGTGGAGAGGCTGAAAGATCAGATATGTTTATATAGGGTGTAGTGTCCCCATGACCATGGGCACAAGATGTTTCTACAAGCGTATTTGCATGTTCTGAAAGAATGTCCAGGTGTATAGTAGAGCTGAGAAGGGACAAGTTGTGGAAGGAGCAAGTAGTTGGACCTGTGGGCTCAGGACCATGGTTCCAGTGGACATCAAGCTCAACTGACATAACATACTATACAAAAACATTGTTCCACATCCTACTTTGGTGAATAGTGACTGGGATATTGAAAGGTGGCAAGCAGCCATCTAGGTGTTATGATGATGGATCTCTCCTCTTCAAAAGCAAAGAAGAATGAAGAAAACCAAAAACACATGGAAACAATTAGTCCAAGGGACTGGTAGACCAGGCAATCTTCAGCCTACATGACCATGGGACCAGATGAATTAGATGGTGCCTAGCTACCACTGTCAATGATTTGGAGGGGGACCTTGTGTTGGATTCTTGGATAGAGTGGGAGAACAATGTAGAACAAAACTCAAAATTATATTTAAAAAAAAAAAAAAAAAAGGACCAGGCTTGCTGGTCTTATAAAGCCTGGTGAATCCCATTAGACTATGGCCCCTAGCTACCCTTCAGGTCTGGAATTGAACTCCTGTGGCTTCCAGCCAAATAAAAGCCGGCTTATGGGCTGAACATTATATCAGGTAGATACACTCCTTGGAGAGATCAATCATGGGAAAACAGAATGGCAGTGTATACACAGGGAGACTGCTCAGGGGGCATGAGTGAATGGGAGGGAAGGACACAGGGAAGAGGTAACTATGGGGAGGAAGTGGGAGGAGAGCAGTTACATTGTGGGAAATTGCAGTCAGCGTCATGAGATAAAGTATGTATGAACTGCTGTATGGAAAATGAAACTGCTTTGTAAACTTCCACTCAAATCACAATAAAAATAAAAAAAAAAATAGAATATTGAAGAATACAAGAATCATCGCAACATGGATGACTTTAGAGGAAATTATACTGAGTAAAATAAATCCATCACAGAAGGACAAATGAGGTCACTATTGTAAAAAGTTAAGGAAAGTTTATTCAGGGAAGGAAATTCATTTTGTTGGTTACTGGGGATGGAAGGGAAGGGTAGGGAAAATCTAAGACACGTTGATTTGGGTGAGGGGAGGAATTATATGGAAAGAGTCTGTGACCAACATGGTGACATTAGGAAATGAAATATACTGAAATGTACACAAAAGATATAGACAAAGAGGCAAATACCATTACATACACAATACTGTAGTATCACCAGCACCAAATACCAGGCTACAGACAGATGAGAAGAGCAGGAGGGGGTAGATGAACAGGAATATACACTTGACCAAGGATAGATTTGGCTGAAGATAATCTTACATATACACTTGTGCTACAAAATTAGCCACATACATTATAGAAGCAACAGAAGACAGGGTTGGAGTAACTTCTCAGAAACAACCAAATATCTTGTGAGAGAGAATCACCAGGCCTGTGGGTTCGGGACCATAGTCTCAGGGGATATCACACTCAATTGCTCAATTGTTCTACAGCCTAACTTGGTGAATAGTGACTGGGGTCTTAAAACTTTGGAGCAGGCATCTAAGATGCAACTATTGGTCCCTTCTCTGGAGCAAAGAAGAGTGAAGGAAATCAAAGCCATGGAATCCATTAGTCCAAAGATAAGATGGACCATGAAGACCTCAGCCTCCATGACCTGAGACCAGAATAACTAGATGGTGCCTGGCTACCAATGCCAACCACTTGGAACGGGATCAAACCTGGAGATCCTGTATAGAGTGGGAGGAAAAATGTGGAACAAAATTCAAAAACACAAAAATGGGCAGAATTACTGGTTGGATAAAGACTGGTGGAACCCCTGAGACTATGGCCCAGGTTACCCTTCAGGCCTAGAAATGGATTCACATGGATTGGCTCTCAGCCCAACAGTAGAAAGATCTATATACAGAGCACCTACCCCAGTTCGATGCACCCACCTACTCTAGGGAGATGCACCACTTAGATCAATCAGCCATGAGACACCAGAGGGATAGCACTCACATAGCAGAAAATCTGGACAGACAGGAATGCACAGATAAGAAGGGCACAGGGAGAGGGTGGTCACAAGGAGGAGAGAGGAGGAGAGTTATTTATGGTTGGGGATGGTAATTGGGGCTGTGAATTCAGATGTACATGAATTGTTGAATGTAAAACAAGTTTGCTATGCAAATTTGCACCCAAAGCACAATAAGAAAAAAAAAAAGTTGATGGTTCGAACCTACCCAGAAATACCTTGGAAAAAGACCTGGCAATCTGCTTCTAAAATGTCATAGTCTTGAAAACCCTATGTTGTTCTACTCTGCACAGATGGGCTCACTATAAATCAGCTTGATGACAGTGGGTTTGGCTTTTTTTTTTTTTTTCCTTGTTATTGTTACTTGACGTAGTCACAGTAATTGATAGCAATTTACATTTTTAAACAGAACTTTTTCCCTCTTCTGATCTCAAATATAGCCATATGTTTATGGGTTTAGAAGGACTACAAATGATAAAATCAACACACTCTCCTGATTCCAACCCTTTAGCAGGAATAAGAAGGCAGGCATTGAATCCAGAGCAACTGGAAAGAGGGGTAGGAAGAAGGCACAGGAGGGTAGAGGGTTTGCAATGCCCACCATGTGATTCTGCACAGCTTGGGGGAAAAGAGTAATGATGAAGGAAGAGGTAGGGCTGATGGAATGGTCCTGGGCACAGGACAGGCCATCTGCCCCTTACTGAGGGCTTTGAAGATGGTTTATTTCTACGTGAATGAAATGTGTCTACTGGTGGATGTGCAGCTTTCAGATATTTCAGGGAACTGTAAGCTTCATAAAGGCAAGGACTTTGGTTTGCACATAGTAGGTACTAGAAGTTGAGAAAGTGCCTGGTACATGAGTGTGCAGAAATATTTCACTTCATGAATGAATGAATGAGAGCTGTCATGTGCTGAGGTCAGGTATAATAATACTCTTGATGACGAAGGTGAATTGTGTGGTCTCCTGGTTTCATTTTAAGTGAGATTATGATGCTATTCTTTGTGATGGCTGATTTCACATGTCCACTTGGCTCAGCTATGGTGCCCAGTTGTTTGGTCAAATACTAGTCTTAGTGTTGCTATGAAGGTATTTTGTTGATGTGCTTCACATTTACAGTAAGTTGTCTCTTAGTAAAGGAGATTACCTTCAATGATGTGGGTGGGCCTGATGTAATCATTTGAGGGACTTATGAGCAAAAACTGAGGTTTCCAAAAAGAATTCTGTCTAAAGAATGTAACATAGACATTGTCCAGCTGTCACATGCATATGAGGTGATTGAAAATACCATGGCTTGGTCTTCAAAAATGATATCCTTAGTCTTCACATTAGTTGGAGTTCCAACCCTCTATCTGCCCTACAGATTTCAGAGTCTCCAGCCCCTATAATTGCATAAGTCAATTTCTTAAAATAAATGTCCCTCTCTTTACACACACACACACACACAAGACCACGACTAAAATACTATTCATGAGATTTCATAACTTCTTGGCCCTGGTGGTCCACGGGCTTGGTTTGATTCATGCCTATAGTAGGAATGGCTCCTTTTCCCAGACCACTCAGTTTTGCTTGGCCATCATCTCCTGGAATTTTTCAGGGCTGCCTGCATTGCCAGCACTAGGTGCTTGTGTCTGGAGGAAATTACACTTGTAATACAGTATTGTACTGACATTCTTTGAACAAAACCTCAATTATCAGTGGTGGACCAGCTTTCTTTATTCCCAGTGACTGTGGTGCAGGGCTCCTGAGAAGCTGAGAAGCAGGTGAGTTCTGTGAGGTTACCAATTAGAGAAGGATAAATGACCCTTGGCACTGCTTAGGGAGCAACATGAGGCTCATTAGACACCAATAATTTCAGGGGCTTAATTACATTTGTGGCATCTAGGGAGGATGAGTTTTGGGGCTTAGCCCAAGTTCTTTGGTAAACATTCTTCATAGAGCCTCTCTTTCTTGTTTTTCTGACAAAGTAGGCTCAGTTTGAGGAGTTTGGGATTTCCACAGGCCATCATTAGGAGCAAATGACAGTGGCATTGGCACAGGCCACAGTGGAGTGGTTTTCATTATACAGTTCCAGCAAGACCTCATATTCTCCCTGCCAGAGACAGAGGGGAAGCATTAGACATGTGATTAGTAGACAATCAACCATTGAATACATACATACATTGAGCATCTTCTATGTACAAGAGTCCCTAGGTGGCACAAAAAGTTAAGAGTTGGCTACTAGCTGAAAGGTTGGAGGTTCAAACCCAACCATAGGTATCTTGGGAATAAGTCCTGACAATCTGCTTCTGAAAGGTCACACCCTTGAAAACTCTGTAGAGCACAGTTATACTCTGACACACATGAGAATTGACTCTAAAACAACTTGTTTGATTTTTTTTTTGGTTCATGCACTAAAGTTCCTGGGTGATGAAATCTGGCTGCTAATTGAAAGGTTGAAAGTCTATCTTGAGGTACCTTGGAAGAAAGATCTGGCAATCTACTTTCAAAAAATCAGCCATTGAAAACTCTATGGAGCACAGTTCTACCCTGACACACATGGGGTCACCATGAGGTGGAGCTGACTCGACGGCAACTGGTAGTTTTCTGTGTGTTAGGCATTGTTGTAGACTCACGGTAGGAAATAGAACAAAGGAAAACAATCCTTGCTCTGTGGCGCTTATAGTCTAATTAGGAAAGGCAAATAACCACACATTTTCAAATATAATGGTGTAGAAATGATGATAATTGCTATGGAGAGAATCAAGCAAGTAGGGATGGACAGGGTGTGCAGGTTTAGCAGTTGGTGGGTGAGATTAGTACTGGTTTGCAATTTTAAGTAGGGAGGTCAAGGCAGGCCCTGCTGAAAAGGTGGCAATTGAGCAAAGATCTCAAGGAGGTGTGGGAATGGGGGATGGTGTTCCAGCAGAGAGAACTGCCCACCTTTGAGGAACAGCAAGGAGGGCTCACCCTGCAAGGAGTGAGAGGAGATGAGGTTGGAGATGTGAAGGGCAGCCATGCTTATGGGCCATGAAGAAGACTCAGGCCTTCCCTCTGAAGGGATGCGGCCCCTCAGAGAGTTGTCAGAGGTATGACTGGTGTGATGCACAAGTGAATGGGGTCCCTTTGGCTGCCATGTTGAAAAGACATGTTGATGAGAGGATGGGAGTAGCAAGACTAAGGAGGAGGTAATGGCTACAATCCAGATGGAAGGGGGTTGTGACAAATGGTTGGATTCTAGATAGATTTTGAAAGAAGAGCCAATATCATTGAGGAGATCCACATGAGTGAGGGAGAAACAAAGAAGATAACTATGACTCCAAGGACTTTGGCCTGAGTAACCGGAAGGATAAAGTATCATTTGCTGAGATGGAGAAGACCCTGGAGGAGCAAAATTCAGTGACAAAACACTGTATCAGAAAAGATTCTATACCCTTTCAGGGCTCGATTCTGGTAACAAGCAGTCCATAGTGACTGTGTAGTAGCTGTCCAGTGACTCTCTCTCTTTGTAGCTAGGGTTAAATCATGGAGAATAACCACAAAATATAAAAAATTGAGGAAAGCCCCTAAGCACTTAGTTGCATATGTTGTGTTCACTACTGAAACTCCAGGGCAATCCTCACTACAGGCCATGCAGGAGGTGTATGTGTTTGCTGACTCCCTGCTCTGGAGGCAAAAGGACTTTGCAGGTGATGGCAGGGGAGAGGTAAAAGAGGGCAGGGGGGTGGGAGGGTGAGGAAAGCACAAGGAAGTCTTGGCAAAACTTTGAGCTGCCTGTCACACAACAGAGGAAAGGGGTTTATTTTGTATGAAGCCAGAGGGTAAGAATAAATAAGACCACTGGATAGAAGTTGCCCTCGAGAGAGCTTTTGTCAGGAAAGAACAACTTTCTAGCAGTTAGCAGAGCTTTGGGAATGTGGATTCCCCAACACTGCAAACTGTATTCCAGAGATCCAGGCTCCTTTGGATGCTGTTTTGGGTGTGAGGATTGATTAGAATAACCCTAAGGCATCATTCAACTTGAAGATTCTGTAAATCTATAGGCTCTCATGAGTCTTATTGCTGATATTGAGTGACTATGATTTCATCAGAAGTGTTAAGACTTTAACCAAAACAGTAGAAAAAGTAGGGCATTAATTATGGGTAAAAGTAAACTCAAAGTTGTATTGATTCTGTGTTTAATAACAATAACAACAATAATAATAAACTAACTTTCTTTTAACTATTCATGGGCATTTAAGTAGATACCCTACACATTTGTTGAAAACCAAATGAATTTTTCTTCATTGCTTTATGAGCTTAGGAAAAGGCGTGGCATTTGAAGGAAGAAGGGTATAGATTGTGGATTAGAAGGTACACACACTCTGGTTTAAGAGGCAAGAATATTTAGGGAACTGGACCAGTCTGAAGACAGAGGGAGGCATGTGTAACAGGACAGGAGGGGCAGGATTAGATCAATGACAGCAGCTGTCTTTCTGTGGGAAGCAGAGAACAGAGTTTGCAAGTCAGGGATTGGTAGTTGCCCATGTGAGTTGGGGGCCCAAACAATCTCTAATTCTAATTCAGAAAACAGAAACCATAGAAAGATGCAGGACTCCAGGGAGGGTCTTCCACTCTGGGCCAGGGGACTGGGTTTGTTAAAGAGAAGAGGATTTTTAGAGACTGAAGACTGAGTGGTGAATGGAAATATTAATGGCCAAGCAGGGGCTGCTAGATCAGGGCCCAGCTCTGGGGGTTGGGTGGAGGAGAGGACAAAGGGGAAGTCTTTTAAACTAAACTTGGCAGTGTCTCTGTCCCATATTAGGAAAGCCAAGTCTCTGTGTGCTGGCTGGCTGATGGCCAGGGAGGTCTGGGTTTCTGCAGCTGGTGTGCAGCCAACATGGGGCACCCACACTGGAACTAAGGCCACTAGCTGCCTTGCTGCATATGTGATGTGCCCCATCTGTGTTGTATCCCTTGGCAGGTCTGTCCCAGTAGGCTGGGGGGTGTGGCACGTAAGCACTTGGCAAGTTTCTGCTTTACTGGCCAAGGCCTCAGGATGGGACACTGGGAGAATCAAACATAGAAGTCCTGTAGATCCTTCAACCACACAGGCCTAGAGTCAGGAGTCAGAGTGCTCTGCCCTCACCCTGGGAAATGTCCCCTTGAGTATCGTTGGTTAAAAACCACCAGTGTTGTACTTTCCCAAAATGTCTTAGGGGATTCCAATAAAGCTTTTTTTTTTTCCATAGTTCTGGTAAATTTTCTTTCAAAAGGATGCTATGACTTTAAGAAGTTATTTCCTGCTCTATTTCATAGCAATTGCTAATAACCATTGTTTAAGCCATTGATGCAAAATGAAAATCAATTGTTTGCAAATTTTAAGTCAATCTATAGTGAGCAGGGGAGAACCAGTCCCTGACAGTTTGTGGCAGTGAGTGGTAACTTGCATATGCAGCTGGGAGCCATGTTGTTGTTGTTGTTGTTGTTTGCCATTGAGTTGGCCCCGAGGCAGTATCACTACGGAAGTAGGAATGCCCAACCTTCCTTCCGAGGAGTGGCTGGTGGGTTTGAACCACCAGCCTTCTGGTTAGCAGTCAAGTGCCTTAGCCACTATGCTACCAGAGCTCCTACCACTAGTATTTCAGACACAGCAGGGTCACCAATGGGGACAGGTTTCAGTGGAGCTTCCAGACTAAGAGCAGGAAGAAAGGCCTGGTGATCTACTTGTAAAAATTAGCCACAGAAAATGTTATAGATTACAAAAAAATATTGTCCAATACAGTCCTGGCAGATGAGCCCCCTAGATTGGAAGGTTTTACACAAAAGCCACAATGGACTATTTCATGAACCAACAATCCTGAAAATGATGCAGGACCAGGAACAACTCATCCTGTTGTGCACGAGGTTACCATGAGTCAGACTACTTGGTAACACACAGCATCAGCGTGTGGGGGTGGCTAGGGAGGAAGGAGTCAGAAGGAAAATAAGGAAAGAGAAAGAATTTGATTAAAAAAAAAATGATTTTGGGAGAACTTTAGCTCACATCTTATATGTTAGAAGTGATCAAAACCAGAAACCACTGCCATGCAGTCAATTCCGACTCATAATGACCCCATTGGGTTACCAAGGCTGAGAATCTTTATGGAAGCAGACTGCCTCATCTTTCTTCCCCAGAGCAGCAGAACCACCAATCTTCTGGTTAGCAGTCAAATGCCCTAGGCACTATGTTACCAGATCTTGTTTTTTAGAAGTAAAGGGATTCTGAATTTCCTTCCTCACAAAATATTCATATGCTAATAGGCTTAGAGAGGAAAACTCTAGAGAAGAATCCCAGAGGGGGAAGGGTGGAAAGGGCCAGCCTCATGAGAGTTTGAAGCAATCTAGAGAGGTGACACTCTAGATGTAGGAACCAAGAGGCTGGGACAGAAAGAAAACCTACAAGAGCACAGAAATTATGTTAAAGAGGTTGTTTATAGAGAAGGAGACCACTGTCTAGAGTTATATACAGGTTTTGGAAGACTCAAAGGGTGAGACTAAAAACAAAACTATTATACTTTTAAAAAGTTCTGGTGGTGCTGTGGTTAAAGCATCGGGCTGCTAAGCAAAAGGTCGGCAGTTCAAACCCACCAGCCACTCCACAGGAGAAAGATGTGGCAGTCTGCTTCCGTGAAGATTTATAGCCTTGGAAGCCCTGTGGGGCACTTCTACTCTGTCCTGTAGAGTCTCTGTAAGTTGGAATTTACTTGATGGCAGTGGGTTATTACATTTTTGTGATTCTTTTAATACTGTTCCCTAATATTCTCTCAGGAGTATCATATTGAAACTTTCTTGCTTATGTTACTGCTACTTGAATTCAGCCATTTAGTAAAGTCACGTTAGTTCGAACAAAAGGAATTGCTGGAAAATTTTACTCTTAGCTGTGAACCAGCCTGTGAACTCTTGGGATGTGGGCATTTGACTACTATTTGTGAGTCCCCATGGATAGTGCAAGGGCTGTAACTCAGAGGACATTTATGCCATCGTGGTTTGTGTATCCTCCTTTCTCTGCTCTGCTAGCCTTTCTGAAGCATTGTTAAAGCACCATGTGGCTTCTTCCCCCGCTTCCCCAGCAGCTCCAGCCATATGGCCTTCCTGAGGACACCGCCATCCTCCTGGACAAGCAATCTGGCCTTACTCTTAGTAGGAGATTTCTACTCAGAGGACCCCAAAGATTCTCCCAAAGGTCCAATGAGACATAAATAGTTAAAAACCAAAATGTCAGAACCAGAATGTCAAACATTTTTTTTTAAACTTTTATTATGGTGAAAACATACACAACAAGACATTCACCAGCATAACTTCTATGTTTACAGCTCAGGGACGCTGATGATATTTTTCAGGCCACCATTATTGTTTTCCTTTCCTAAAATATTCTACTACAATTAGCATAAACTCAATTCCCTACTAACAAACTTCTCCTTTTCCCCTCCCTCCTACTCCTGGTAACCACTAATAATAATAATATAATATATATATAAATATATATATGTATGTATATACATATGACTCTGGTGGTACAGTGCCTAAGGCCCCAGCTAAGGCTGGTTGGTGGTTTTGAACCTCTAACCTTCTGGCTAGCAGTCAAATGCCTCAGACACTGTGTCACCAGAGCTCCATACACACATACATATACATATGCATATATATATATACATATGCATATTTTAGATATGTTGTTGTTGTTGTTGTTTTGCCGTTGAGTCGGCCCCAACTCATAGTGACCCCTCCTTGGGTTTCCAAGGCAGTATCACTACGGAAGTAGGATTGCCCAACCTTCCTTCCGAGGAGTGGCT